TCCGCCCAGCTCCTGGCAACCAGTGACATCACTGGTTGCCAGGAGCTGGGCGGGATGCCAGCCATAGCGTCCCAGGTTGCTCAGAGCCGGGCAGAGGGATGTGTATGGCCCTTCCACATCTCCCCGCCTGGCTCTTAGTGGTGTCACCGTTCCACCAGCAACACTCATCCCAACCGGTTGTGCACCATCTAGTAGGAATGCACCGATACTAGTATTAGTGCTGATACCGAGTATTTGGGCGAGTACAAGTACTCACCCAAATGCTCAGATGCCTAGCCCGATACCCGAACTTCCCTTATCAGGAAGCATGTAATGACTCACCGCCTAGCTTCCTGATTGGTTGGAAAACTGGCCAATGAGGAAGTCGGACGGCGAGTCATCACCTTGCTTCCTGATTGGCCGGAAAGCCGGCTTCATGCTTCCTCGTCACTTGTTGACGATGGAGCTGGCTTCCTGGCCAATCAAGAAGCCGGGTGCCGTGTAATGACTCGGTGCCCGGCTTACTGATTGGTCGAGAAGCTGGCAAATCAGGAAGCCAGGCGCCTCCCCCCCTCCCGCCTTCCTGATTGGCTCCATGTTTCCTCCTCGTCAACTGGTGAGAGAAGGCTTGGGGACACCCCTGCATGTGACAACGTTGGGCCCATCCACACTGTCATATAGGGGAGTCCTATGTGTAAGTGACAGCTCTGGGGACTCGTCACTCATATGGGGGTGGGGGCGTTTCTTGGCCATAGAGAAGCTTCAGCGGGGTTCTGCTTTAAAATGAGATTGTTGCCTGTCATGGAGTAGCAGCGCCGCCCATCGCACTGCAGCATCCATTCTGTGATCAGTGAATGTGTTATATGACTTCATGGCGTCTCATGATTGGTCGCATTTCCTTTCAGGCCAACAGAGACGCGGTTCTCAGTCGGATCCCGGAGCATAAAAATGATCGGATTATCAGTCTGCAGAGCGCGTCCGTGGTCTATGACCTCCTGACGATCGCGCTGGGGAGGAGGGGCCAGTATGAAATGCTGTCGGAGGTGAGTGTCACACCTATTCGTAGGGACAAATGAGGGGACAACAACACCCAGTCCCCCCTATGATGTCATTGGGCTGAATAGCATGAGACGTTTCTGAACCCTGCAGTTCTAATGGCTCGGTGCCACTGCCCCGCCTCCCACCGTCTTAAAGTGACGCCCACCTGAGTGTCCTTGTGTCTCTCTGCAGTGCTTGGAGCGCGCCATGAAGTTTGCTTTTGAAGAATTTCACCTCTGGTACCAGTTTGCGCTCTCCCTGATGGCTTCAGGAAAGGTGACGTCTCTTCCTTGTCTGTATACCACACACGATGGCTCCTAAGACGCGTATGCACTATGATTTGCGAGACAGCAGGAGATACCTTCAGTGCTGAAGAGCCAGTGCAGGGAGGTTGTAGAGGAGCCCGTGGGCTGTGGGTATGGAGGAGCCGGTGGGCGGAGGGTATGGAGGAGCCGGTGGGCGGAGGGTATGGAGGAGCCCGTGGGCTGAGGGTATGGAGGAGCCGGTGGGCGGAGGGTATGGAGGAGCCGGTGGGCGGAGGGTATGGAGGAGCCGGTGGGCGGAGGGTATGGAGGAGCCGGTGGGCGGAGGGTATGGAGGAGCCGGTGGGCGGAGGGTATGGAGGAGCCGGTGGGCGGAGGGTATGGAGGAGCCGGTGGGCGGAGGGTATGGAGGAGCCGGTGGGCGGAGGGTATGGAGGAGCCGGTGGGCGGAGGGTATGGAGGAGCCGGTGGGCGGAGGGTATGGAGGAGCCGGTGGGCGGAGGGTATGGAGGAGCCGGTGGGCGGAGGGTATGGAGGAGCCGGTGGGCGGAGGGTATGGAGGAGCCGGTGGGCGGAGGGTATGGAGGAGCCGGTGGGCGGAGGGTATGGAGGAGCCGGTGGGCGGAGGGTATGGAGGAGCCGGTGGGCGGAGGGTATGGAGGAGCCGGTGGGCGGAGGGTATGGAGGAGCCGGTGGGCGGAGGGTATGGAGGAGCCGGTGGGCGGAGGGTATGGAGGAGCCGGTGGGCGGAGGGTATGGAGGAGCCGGTGGGCGGAGGGTATGGAGGAGCCGGTGGGCGGAGGGTATGGAGGAGCCGGTGGGCGGAGGAGCCCGTGGGCTGAGGGTATGGAGGAGCCGGTGGGCGGAGGGTAAGGGTATGGAGGAGCCGGTGGGCGGAGGAGCCCGTGGGCTGAGGGTATGGAAGAGCCGGTGCGCGAAGGGTATGGAGAAGCTGGAGTCCCGGAGTAAAACATAAGACTCCTCTAGATGGCGCTGTGCTCTGGGAATCATGGCAGGTCTGAGCAGACTGATATATACATAGTTAGAAGGTATGACTGTCTTCATTCAGAGATCATTAAAGCTAAACTCCGGCCCTCCCTGCACAGTTGCATCCTCCTCTTCTGGACAGTATGGCTAATCCATCAGAGTCTGCGGTTCCACACCGTTCTCTCTGCTCTACGGGGTACCACTAAGTAGTACTCAATAGAGTACCCTGGGCTGTCCTGCCTGTGAAGCCGCCCATGTACATCCCCCTAACTGATAAGCAGATATTACCTGTGAGGGAGATGCTGGACGCATGGCTGAGCATATTGGACAGGAAATGACATCATAACCATGTAGTTCCATTAGGAAGAGCATTGCATCATACAAGAACATTGCCACCTAGTGGCAGAACACATGTGAATGGTTGTTGCACCTGTGTCTGCATAAACAGCTTGCTAATACCCTCCCACTGCAAGTCTAATGGAGGCTTGCAGCCAGCATATCACAATCCGGTATATCACATCATTACAGCAGCTGAATTGAAGCATGACTCGGTGAAGGAATAGAAAGGTGAACCCGAGTCTGCTTATTTACATGGAGTTATTTGTCTTCTCTGTTTGTGTTTCTCTCCAGTCTGCCAGAGCTGTAAAAGTTCTAAGAGAATGTATTCGCCTCAAGCCAGAAGATGCCACCATCCCCCTCCTCGCTGCCAAGCTGTGCATGGGATCCTTACACTGGGTGAGACTGTGCGGAGCTACATGACATATGAGTAGCAGTGACTTATTCTGTGTTGCCGTATTCCCACACATGACGCTGAGACTAAATGATTGACCGCACAGAAAGCAAATGGCTAAAAGGGGTGGGCCAGGGACAGTGAGAATTGGGAGGAGAGGGGTAGATGATGCTTGAAGTTGTCCAGCCTGGAAATTAGGTGAACTCCACATAACTTTGCAGCTTCTATTGCAGTTCGTGTGGAACTCAGTGTGCAGAGATATGAGACTTACCGCGTTCAGCACAGCAGAGGACCTTCTACAAGTGTGCAAAAAGGAAGGTTAGGCTGGAGTTCACCATCAGCCCTTATTCACACGCGTGCCGGCCCGTACAGCACCGTGCTGCGTGCAGGGCCATATCGGGCCGCTCCCAGGAAGGACAGGTGCTGCGTGTGATTTGTACGCAGCCCCTGTCCTTCTCTATAGGAGTACGCGGCAGTACACACACCCAACCTGCACGTCCGTACGGGTGCCCCCCGGCTTGAACGCAGACGGGATCAATCCTGTCAGCGTATGAGCATGGACACCTGCACCCGCACGAACATGCAGTCTGGGTGAGCGTACGACCGCGTACTCACATAGAGGAGGACATGCAGCACCTGTCCTTCCCGGGAGCGGCCCGATATGGCCCTGCACGCAGCATGGAGCTGTACGGGCCGGCACGCGTGTGAATGAGGCCTTAAAGGAGAACTATGAGGGGAGTGCTTTTCACTCCCCTCATAGTTCTAGCCGACCTGTGACAATGAGACTGTCACAGGTCGGCTCAGTAGATCGAGAGGTGAGCGAACACATACCGGCGTTCTCTCACCTCTCGATCCTGTCACGGCTCTCTGCCGTGACAGGGGAGGGGATGGATTCACCCCTCCCCGCTCCGATCCGCCAGCTCGCGGTATACTTAGCCTAGGGTGACGGGAGGACGCTAGTTTGTGTCCTCCCGTTACCCTAAGGAGAACTATGGGGAAAAGCCCTAACCCCACAGTTCTCCTTTAAAGGACAATTTCACTTTGGATGGAGTTGTTCTTTAAATGTTCTCCCCCAAGAGGCAGCCACTTACCAAAATACTAACCTTCAGCCCTGCACTGGAGTTCTTTGTGTGGCCCCGCACCTTTGCAGAAAGAAGCCCCGGCAGCATCCCAATTCCTACTGCACATGTGCATCATTAAGCCCATTCACTCCTTCATTGGTGAATCAGCCTTGTGAAAAGACAAACCTCGGTGATCTCTTTAATACCAATCCCAGCTTTTGAAGACAAGCTGCCGATGGGCCCTAAATAAAATTCCTTTCCTGACCCCAAAATATGAATCAAATGGAAGCTTTGCTTAGGGTTTGTGTACAATATATTGGAAATGAATAAGGACTGTTCCTATTATTCTCCGAAATACGTTCCCTAGTGGGTTGTATGTACAGCCCAGGTCTTGTGATGGAAGATCCTCAGGGGCCGAGCCTGATATGTCCCTCCCCTGAGGTAGCGCATGGAGAACAGGGCTCATTATCTCTGTGACATATAGACCCTGCCGCCCTTTCTGCAGATGTGCTGACCGCAGACTTCCTTGATTTTATGACCTTTTATCTTTTGCAGATGGACGAAGCTGAACGGTTTGCCAAATTGGTTGTTGACTGCAGTGAAAAGAGCCCTGAATTTAAAGCCAAAGGTTACCTAGCCCTCGGACTCACCTACAGTTTACAAGCATCGGATGGTAATGCGCATTCTGAATGAGTATCATAGCCTGTGACTTTCTTTCATCTTCCTTATGTCTCTAGGACTCGCGTTGTAGGCTTTAAAGGCTCCGGGCAGCATTTTTATTAACCCTTTGCAGTGGGGCCACCTCCTCACTACAAGGGGTTAATTGCTTGTTTTTTTTCTACGCAGCAAAATGAAAAAGTTATTTTTGTCTGCTCCGGTTTAGATAAATTCCCCTCAATGTATATAACAAAACACATTCAGTCGTCTATCTCACCGACCAAAAGAGATGAAATGAGAGAACTTCATTTTTTTTTTTTTATATGCACTTTAACCAGTTGACATCCGCGGTGTTAAACCCCCTTCCCATCCAGGCCATTTTTCAGTATTCAGCGCTGCGGTACTTTAACTGACATTTATTCCGTCATGCAGCGCTGTACTGAAATGAATTTTATACCCTTTTTTGGGGACAGATAGAGCTTTCTTTTGGTGGTATTTATTCACCACTGGGGGTTTTATTTTTTTACTATATTAAGGAAAAATTACCGAAATTTAAAAAAAAAAAAACAGTTTCCCCTATATTAAATGATAAAACATTTATTATTACCCAATTTTTTGGTAAAATATAAAAGATGGGGTCACGTCGGGTAAAAAGACACTAAACATGTCAAGCCTTAAAATTGCATGCGCGCACGAAACCTCAAAAAACGATAATACCCAAAATTGGCCCTAGGCGACGCTTTAAAAGCTGTTACCGCTCATCAGTTTAGTGTTATCAGTGATTGATGGCCCTAAAATGATTGCTCTCACTGCGACGTTCGCGGCGATATGTAACATGTGTAGCGCAATTGTAATTTTTGCGCGCTGGGGCACCGGACGCGTATTTACGTTTATAGGCGCGTAAACGTGGGGGTGGGGGAGTTAAACATTTTGGGGGGGTTTTTTCCCCTTTTTTTATATGTGGCTTTTATTTTATTTTATTTTTTTATGTGTTACTTTTCTTTTTTTTGCACTTATTGTTATTGCTATTATATAGGGGGATAACATTATATAGGGGGATAACAACCCCCTATATAATAGCAAAGGCACACTGACAGGTCCTCTTTATGGAGATATTAGGGGTCTCTAGGACCCCTAATATCACCTATGGACCCCAAAAGAAGCTGATAAAGCAGAGATCTGCTTTATCAGCTTCTTCTCTCTCCAGATGACTGACAGGTGAATGCGGAAGTGATGTAACACACATCACTTCTGCATTCACAGCCCGGACGGGGATCAGCAAGGAGCTGATCTCCCGTCCTCCTCCTCCTGACGCCCTCGGAGCCGGTCCCGGGATCCAAGATGGGGCAGCGGATCCCGGGAATCAAGGTGAGGGGTCAGGGGGAAAAAAAAAAAAAAAAAAAAAACCGGAAGCGCCGAGCGTGCGCGGGGGGGGGCTTGCCGCGAACGAGCACATATAGGCGATCGGCGGGCTATGGACCCGCTGATCGCCTATATGTGAAACACCCGGTAACGGGTGTTTGCATTGGACGGGTCTTTTCTGCCCGTGCGTGCCCGCTAGGGGGCGCGCGCGAGCAGAAAAGACCCCGCAGATGCAGCAGTGCCGTCCGTCCGTTTTTCTACTACGGGCGGACGGCAAGAGGTTAAAAGGCGGCTGATAGCTGTGTAACATGTTTCCGTACACACTGCTCTAATATAATGTCTGAGGCTGTATGGAAGACAATTCTGATGTCTCTCCCCCGGAACAGAGAGCGGCTGATAGCTGGCCAGAGATTGTCCTAGACGGGGCAGACGGGTTTTCCTGGGACTATAAAACATCTCATTTTCGGAGTTTTCCCCCTTTTATTGCCCCGCCTCTCCCAGGACCATTTACACTGGGAGTGCTTGTGAACATTTTTGCAGCTTTTCTAATCGATGGCAGAATGTTGGGAAATGAGTAATCACATTCTTCTTATTGTTTGTTCTCATCTAGAAGCGTTCTTAGGCTGTGACTGGATGGGTTTTGAAAGGTCCCCATTGGCTGCTTTTTCCTGTAGTATTCTATTGGAAAAAATTACAAACTACTGACCCGTTCCTATGAAATTCTTAAAGGAGAACTCTGAGGCGAGTGCTTTTCACTCACCTCATAGTTCTAGCCGACCTGTGACCATGAGAATCACAGGTCGGCTCAGTAGATCGGGAGGTGAGTGAACACATACCGAAGCCTGAGCCTAGGGTGATGGCTAGATTGTGTCCTCCCGTTACCTTAAGGAGAACTATGGGGAAAAGACTTAAAGGAGAGCTATGAGGGGGGGATGGGGGGGGTGCTTTTCACTCACCTCATAGTTCTAGCCGACCTGTGACAATGAGACTGTCACAGGTCGGCTCAGTAGATCAGGAAGTGAGCGAACACATACCGGCGTTCTCTCACCTCTCGATCCTGTCACGGCTCTCTGCCGTGACACGGGAGGGGCTGGATTTCCCCCTCCCATCCGCCAGCGCTGAATGGCGGAACGGACGGGGGAGGGGGCGGGTACAGCTGGCTCTGCCTCTAGATAGGCAGAGCCAGCTGTCACTCACGCAGCTGGGCGGATCTCGACATCGATGTCGGGATCCGCTCCGGCTGCGGCGTCAGCTCGCGGTATACTGAGCTTAGGGTGACAGGAGGACGCTAGTTTGTGTCCTCCCGTTACCCTAAGGAGAACTATGGGGAAAAGCCCTGACCTCATAGTTCTCCTTTTAATGTCTTTTTCTGATATACATGTAATAAAGAGATACATAGATGTGAATACGTTTTATCAGTTTGTGGCAATGTTTCAAAAATGTTTCAAAAATGTTTTCATCCTGTATGCTTGCTGCATAGGCCAGGGGCAGGTAAATTCCGGCCCTCCACTTGTGGGGCATCTGCACATCCCATGAGGCATTGCAAGAGTCTGACAGCCACAGTCATGACTTCCTGAAGCAGAGGCAATGATAGGATTTGTAGTTTCACAGCAGCTGGAGGGCCGGAGTTCGACTCTCCCCGGTATAAGCTCTGCTTTGAGGCATTAGGCAATTATTAGACTTTACTGCTTCTCTTACCATGCGCATCTAAGTCAACTGACCCACTGAAAAAAAAACACTTTTTGATCAAGTCGAAGGCGATTGTCAATTTGACACAATTAACAATAAAAAATGGATCAAAAGTTCCAAAAAAACTAATTTTCAATTAAAGTTCTTCGGGTGTATGGCCAGTTAAGCTGTCTGCTCCCAGCTTGCTATAGGGCTTGGTCCTCCCTGCTGCCCATGTCACAGGCAGCGATATCTGCGTGGGTGGAGCCAGTGCCTTGATTGACAGCTCCACTCTGCCCAGCCTGGAGAAGACGACGTGTCCTGCTGATGTCATTAGGATGCCTCCCATGTCTCCATCGGAGCAACAGAGCTCCTGGAAAACGCGATATTGGCGGAAGCCACCGTGTGTCCTTCAGAGCTGGTGCACACCTAGGCAATCTGTGACCGCAGGGCAATCGCTCACGATACTGCGCGGCCACGGAGTCGCCCATTGCAGACGATCGTGTTGTGAGTGCCATTATTTTCTAATGGCACCCCAGTCCCGCCGCAATTCCACCCGTGCATCCAAACACGATGCTACATGTACCTTTTTTCTGCGATTGCCGTGCGGATGTCACTCCTTTGATATCAATGGGGCCACACTGCAATCGCTGTCTGCAATTGTGCAGGACCGCGCGATCGCTCAGGTCTGCACCGGGCCTCAGGCTAGCTTCACACCTAGGCGATATATCGCGCGGATTGAGTCACGTGATTGAAGTCAATAGAGGCTGTTCACACCTTTGCAGTTTGTCACACAGACGAAATTGCCTGTCGCGCAAAAAGGTGCAGGAGTTCCATAGATATCTCTATGCATTGAAAACTGCGCGTGAAAACAGCTCAGCAGCTCAGTCGCCTAGGTGTGAACCGCGCCTCAGTGTCTCTTCCCGGGTCCCACGGAGCTGGGTTGGGAAAGTAGTCTGAAGCCATCACCTGACCTTGGTGAAAGGTATCCGGAGGCATTTTCCTCAATCATGTGAACAATTCACAGTAGGTGTGTTAGCAGATTGTATTTTTCAGCTCGCATTGATTTTACAAAGTGATATCACTAAATATGTTCTCACAAATACTACAATTCTAATTCCCTTTAAAGGAGAACCGTGATTTCCACTCACCTCATAGTTCTAGCCGACCTGTGACAATGAGACTGTCACAGGTCGGCTCAGTAGATCGGGAGGTGAGCGAACACATACCGCCGCTCGCTCACTTCTCGATCCTGTCACAGCTCTCTGCCATGACAGGGGAGGGGCTGAATTCCCCCCTCCCCGCTCCGATCTGCCAGCGCTGACTGGCGGAACGGACGGGGAAGGGGGCGGGTACAGCTGGCTCTGCCTCAGATAGGCAGAGCCAGCTGTCACTCACCCAGCTGGGCGGATCCCGACGTCTAAGTCGGGATCCGCTCCGGCTGCGGCGTCTCAGTGGTCTGTAGAGCTGGTCTTGTGGAACCTTCTCAGTGTGGGATCAGGAACAGGGGGATCGGAGGGTCCTGTGATACCAGGCCGCAGCCGAGGACCACCAGACAAGCTAGCGGGGAAAAGGGGGACTTAGTGTTCGTAAAACAGTTCACAGATAGTAAGCCACTACAAGTCCCAGCAGTCCCTAATTTGCCCGGCATTTCCCTGCGTTGCTGCCGCGAGCAGGTCGTCTCATTTCACAGGAAGGGTTTCTGTTATTCTGACATTGCACGGCGGTCACGTTATGTGGACGATTTGAGATGTAAATTGCTCTGAGCCGAGTTCACCTCGAATTCTTTATAGCGGCGCAGCCGTGAAATGTCAGCTTAGCGGCGCCGCCTCTTAGTCCATATCTGGAAATGTAATTTGTGGATGATGAATGTACCATCGGGGCGATGCCGCTTCTCATTTCCGTATGCACTTCTCTTGCAGCGTCTCTGCGTGGGATGCAGGAGGATCTACAGAGGAAAGCCCTCCTCGCCTTTCAGAGGTAAGTGCTGGCAGATTCTTCAGAACAAAACTGAAGGCCCGAAAAAAAATCAAAGTTTTGGGGGTTTTAATTTTTTTTTTTTGTAAATGTGATTTTTGGCAGTTTATAAAACCTGAAGCTGTTTTATCTGTTGGTATGATACACGTGGGGCTCCAAGCAAGTATAACAAAAATCAGATTCCAAGAAAAATGAATTGTATATTAGAAGCATAGCCGAACCTTTACTTTTCTTTTGAGTCATAGGAGTATATTCACTAATGCACTCCGGTGACCCAAAGTCCGCATATAGCAGGTAGTGCAGAGCCGCGCTGCAGTCAGGAAACATCCAGACAATCTTGTCGGGATCTGCCCTGCTGCCTGATTGATGGTTGGCTCTGCCTCTCGAGAGCCAGAGCCAACTATGCCCGCCCCCTCCTCTGTCTGTCCCTCCCACTCAGCGCTGTGAGGAATGGAGAGGTGAGGGGGGAATCCCTGTGGGCAGCGGTGACTGACAGTCCCTTCCCCCTGCAGGGAGAACACTGAGCTGAGCAATTGCTGGTTTTTGGGTTCTTAGCTCTCTGTATATAGAGCCGACGCAGGCTCGAAGTATTGGGACGAGTATATATCACTCCTCCCCAATACTTCTCCTTTAAATACAGCTAGTATCAGTACATGAAACTGTCTTGGCATCAGCCTCTTGGTACTGCAGTATTTAGACTGGGAGAGGGAGGAACAGCCCTCCTGAACCATTCGGGGTTTGTTCCTGTGCTGTTAGTCTAACACTGGGAACTTCCGTTCAGGAGGGAATAATAAAGGGATAATATTATCTGTGTGCTGCTCCTACATTGTACAGTCACAGGATGGGGGCGGCTTCTGGGCCAGGCTGCATTGCCTAGCTGCAGGTAGTCTGCAGAGAGGTCCAGGATTAGTCTGGAACCACTCAGTATATGCTGTATGTGTGTGTATATTTTATGTATGGGTGTATGTAGTGTATTGTGTTCATATTGTATGAGACATACAAAGTATGTTTGGACAGTGGAGTTTAGACACATTTTGTTTGTCTCTTCTACCAAAAAAATCCTTCCTCTTTCTCCTAGCAATCTTTTTGTGGTGCATGCACAGTGCAGTGTAGACTCCCTATTCACTGTCAGCATTTGTAAGATGTAGAAAGTGGAGGAGAGTCCCGGGACAGTGTAACTCCACTGTATGTGTAGGAATTGCACCATCAGTGACCTACCAATGAACTGGAGGAAGTCATAAACAAGTCGGGTTTCCATAATGTGAAAGTATCTCATAAAAATAAAGGAAAAACAAATGCAGCCGCCTCATCTGAGGACTAATGAGCTGCAATATATGACATTTGCATTCTTGGGTATTTCTGTCTCACCGCCCGGCATTCATATGAAGGGAACCTGTACTCTGTGGAACAGTGTCAGTCATGTTTTTGACCATCCCGATCTCTTCCTCCTCAGGGCTCACAGCTTGTCGCCAACAGACCATCAGGCCGCGTTCTACCTCGCTCTGCAGTTGGCGATCTCTCGGCAGGTAAGCTCACCAGATATGTTCTGTTTACTCCAAACTTGTGACCGACACCTTCCACCCATTAGTGCTCTCCCTACCAATAACACATTCCCCAATAAAGTACTTTCTCTGTGCAGAAGCACCTAAATTGAGTGGTTTTCACAGCCGCTTGCCCTGGATCATACAGCAGCCGCCCTGAACTTCCAGTCAGGAGACGCACACTGAGCATTTCATTTGATTGTGCTTGTCAAGACTACATGTCCCGTTACCACATCACCATATTGCTATGCCCCATCCTCGTAGACCTGGCCTCAGGAGCCGCAAATGGCCTGTTGGCACATTATACATTAAAGGAGAACTATGGGGTCAAGGCTTTTCCCCATAGTTCTCCTTAGGGTAACGGGAGGACACAAACTAGCGTCCTCCCGTCACCCTAAGCTCAGTATATAGGGAGCTACAGCTCGCGCTATACTTAGACGCCGGAGCGGATCCCTACATCGATGTCGAGATCCGCCCAGCTGTACCCTCCCCCGTCCGTTCCGCCAGTCAGCGCTGGCAGAGGGGAGGGGGGAATCCAGCCCCTCCTCTGTCACGGCAGAGATCCGTGACAGGATCGAGAGGGGCGCGAACGCCGGTATGTGTTCGCTCACCTCCCGATCTACTGAGCCGACCTGTGACAGTCTCATTGTCACAGGTCGGCTAGAACTATGAGGTGAGTGAAAATCACTCACCTCATAGTTCTCCTTTAAATATATATCGATCTATCTTTCATCTGTCTATAAATCTATCTATCTCGTATACTTTCATATTTTCTCTTCCACCTCCCATGCTTCCCTCTGACTGCCCATTAGTTGACTGAAGCAATAGGCTGGTTTAGGTTGAAGCACTTTCTCCCTCCCGCAGAATAGTATTTACATAGGTAAGATTCCCCCAGGCACTCCAGTACTAAGATGCAGCTCTGCGCGGTCTTTCATTTGTATTACCCGTCTGGCCTGTTTTAGAGCAGCGACAGGTTTCCTTTAAGGTGAACATGACATAAATCTCTATGTCTGCGGGTGCCCTGTGCCTGGTGGTGTATCCACGTTCAGAGCATGTGCTTTGCATACATGGGTTTGTGCGACCTTCCTGAGCACCGTGGTTGTGACTCGGCTGGTTTGCATAGTCTGAATAGCTAGGAATTGCCTCCTGGCTTGTCCTGCTTGTTTAAGGCTTAGCAGCTGCGTTCCAGGCACTCGGGGCTCAGTGCCAGGTGCCTCTCCGCTGCAGAGGGGGGGCCGTTCATTCGCAGCTTCTTGCTGCATGCTGGCCCATCCTGCTATGCCGGTTTGCTCACTGTGTGCAGGGCCAGTGCTAGGATTCGTGCCTACACAGGCAAGGTGCATTTTTGCGCCCCCCTCCCCGACCCCCTGTAAAAACAGGGCATTTTGACAAGTACTCGTACTTGTCAAAATGCCCCGATGTTTGCGCTGTTTTTTTTTTTTTCACTTACCTTCGGTGCGGGAGAGCAGCGGCGAGTCAGCGCTGGTCCAGTGGGAGGAGCTCCAGGTGGGGGTCCTAATTTAGCTGGCCGGCTACTGCCTGAGGTGCCACGCATGTCTGGATCCTTGTTTTTTCCTCCCTCACCATGCAGTGACGTAAGACGGCCGCCTGACTTGCCTCGCGGTAGCGCCGGGCCTGGCTGTGTGCGAATAGATAGTAGGTGGAGACCGAGGTCCAATCACTTTGGTACTGAGAACGCAATGTCATCATTTACACCCAGGTTCTTTGCACTGCACAATGGTGCATTTTGATTGGTTAGGAAATGGCTTTATTTAAGCAAAAATCTGAATCTGTGGGCTTATTTTTTTTAAATCAATATGTTTTTATTGAAATGTTTCATATTTATATGACAAAGTAAACAGTCACAAAGAGGTGTAAAATAGAAGAATACAAGAAAAAGCAATTTTATTTGAAGTGTATCGCTAGGCAAAACTGAGGGGAGGGTTAGAACCTTTGTCAGTTTTTTTTTCTTAATTACGGTCTGGGCCCTTGATAGGGTGACACATTGTCACTGGTTACTGACCGTTGTCACTGGGACTGCTGCTGAGTTACAATGTTGCAGTCTGATCTCTTTTTCCTAAAAACCTTGAGGGCCCATTCACACCACATCCAGATTACCACCAGACCAGACCGTTTCCAGACCCAAAATGCATCCCAATGTGTCCCTATGGTTCTTCTGGCCTCTGTTCCCACCAGCGCAGTCCATTCCAGACCAGACAATTACTGCTTGTCCTATTTTGTCTGGTCTGGAATGCCCTGGATCGCATCAAAATGCATCGAAAATGCATGGAACGCATTTTGTAGCAAGTTACAAGTTGAGAGGCTACAGTAGGGGCTGATCTGTGGCAGACATGTGTGAACCCAGCCAGACACCATGACTGTCATCGCTAAGCCAGTGTTCTATCGAAAACCCCAACGCATCGAGATCTCCAACGACCTGACTTCCGGTTTAGTTAGAAGTAAGAGGTTTGGCCGAGAAGGCTCTGCTCCACGTGCGCCACCCGCTGCATTTCCCTATATACATACCACACAGCAATAAAGTATTAAAATGAACTAGGTTTAGACTAATCCAGCACGTTATTAATCTCAGTTGCCCCACTCAATATGGCTGCCGCTTGCGGCCATATTGAGTGGGGCAACTGAGATTAATAACGTGATGGATTAGTCTGACCCTACTTCATTTTAATACTTTATTGCTGTGTGGTATGTGTAAAGGGAAATGCAGCGGGTGGCGCACGTGCAGCAGAGCCTTCTCGGCCAAACCTCTTACTTCTAACTAAACCGGAAGTCAGGTCGTTGGAGATCTCGATAAGTTGGGACTTTCGACAGAACACCGGCATCTCCGTTCCTGAAGTAGATGGTGTCCCTGGATGGTGGCTGAACAAAGATGGCGCTGTCCTTCTGGAGAGGAAAGCAGAAGAATTCATTATCAGGGGGAGTAGTGAGATCTCTTTGAGAGGCAAAAGATATCTGGACGGGTTACACAATCAGCATGCAAGTACTTACATGAAAAGAAAGCAGACTGGATGCTAGCTCCATATTAAAGGAGATCTATGGGGTCAGGGCTTTTCCCCATAGATCTCCTTAGGGTAACGGGAGGACACAAACTAGCGTCCTCCCGTCTCCCTAGGCTCAGTATATAGAGAGCTGCAGCTCGCAGTATACTGAGACGCCAATACAAATGTTTGACTGATTCTAAATCCTTTTGCCCAGAGTTCAGCTGTAATTCCCCCTTTGTGATCTGGGCAGTGCAGAGGCCGGCTGTGGATGGAGGACGTTCTGATATCTGCTATGTTTTCCTGCAGTCAGTAACATCATAAGCTGAGTACAGGAAGTGTCACCAGACTGGGGGTATCAATGCCTAGAACAGGAAGTGTCACCAGACTGGGGATATCAATGCCTAGTACAGGAAGTGCCACCAGACTGGGGGTATCAATGCCTAATACAGGAAGTGTCACCAGACTGGGGATATCAATGCCTAGTACAGGAAGTGCCACCAGACTGGGGGTATCAATGCCTAATACAGGAAGTGTCACCAGACTGGGGATATCAATGCCTAGTACAGGAAGTGCCACCAGACTGGGGGTATCAATGCCTAATACAGGAAGTGTCACCAGACTGGGGATATCAATGCCTAGTACAGGAAGTGCCACCAGACTGGGGGTATCAATGCCTAATACAGGAAGTGTCACCAGACTGGGGATATCAATGCCTAGTACAGGAAGTGCCACCAGACTGGGGGTATCAATGCCTAATACAGGAAGTGTCACCAGACTGGGGATATCAATGCCTAGTACAGGAAGTGCCACCAGACTGGGGGTATCAATGCCTAATACAGGAAGTGTCACCAGACTGGGGATATCAATGCCTAGTACAGGAAGTGCCACCAGACTGGGGGTATCAATGCCTAATACAGGAAGTGTCACCAGACTGGGGATATCAATGCCTAGTACAGGAAGTGCCACCAGACTGGGGGTATCAATGCCTAATACAGGAAGTGTCACCAGACTGGGGATATCAATGCCTAGTACAGGAAGTGCCACCAGACTGGGGGTATCAATGCCTAATACAGGAAGTGTCACCAGACTGGGGATATCAATGCCTAGTACAGGAAGTGCCACCAGACTGGGGGTATCAATGCCTAATACAGGAAGTGTCACCAGACTGGGGATATCAATGCCTAGTACAGGAAGTGCCACCAGACTGGGGGTATCAATGCCTAATACAGGAAGTGTCACCAGACTGGGGATATCAATGCCTAGTACAGGAAGTGCCACCAGACTGGGGGTATCAATGCCTAATACAGGAAGTGTCACCAGACTGGGGATATCAATGCCTAGTACAGGAAGTGCCACCAGACTGGGGGTATCAATGCCTAATACAGGAAGTGTCACCAGACTGGGGATATCAATGCCTAGTACAGGAAGTGCCACCAGACTGGGGGTATCAATGCCTAATACAGGAAGTGTCACCAGACTGGGGATATCAATGCCTAGTACAGGAAGTGCCACCAGACTGGGGGTATCAATGCCTAATACAGGAAGTGTCACCAGACTGGGGGTATCAATGCCTAATACATGTTTGGGAACTCGTTTGTGCACCAATGTGGGGTCAGAAGTTTTTTTTGTATGTGTGTCTCTGATCATGTGACCCGATTCCTCTCCAGATCCCGGAGGCTCTGGGTTATGTGCGACAGGCCCTCCAGCTGCAGGGCGATGACTCCAATTGCCTCCACTTGTTGGCACTGCTGCTTTCCGCTCAGAAACACTACCACGATGCCCTGAATATCATGGACATGGCGCTCAGTGAATACCCCGAGAATTTCATGTGAGTCAAACACGCAAACCATTTGTTGCGCCATAAAATAAACTCGATGGGAACCATACATCGGTGACATTTCGTTTGGTAAAGGTATTAGATTTAAAAACAATTGCCAGGTTTTTTTTTTTCATAAAATACTGTTTCCACGTCTTTTCATCCTTTGTTACATCTCAGTGCTGCTGATTTCCTGCAGCCTCTTTGCAGTCTACTATGACAGAGGTGTGGGAAGGGAACGGAACACACACAGAGATAGTGAGTGGTCTTTAGGACCCTTGACCCGGTGTTCTTTATTAGGGGTTTTCAACAATAAGATACGACACAGCAACAGGTTAACGGCAACAAAGAACAACAAAAGAGGGTCGGGACTCGCACTTAGGTCTTGTTCACACCAAATGCAGAGCAGATCCGGTCAGGTTTCTGCACACGCAGTGCAGTGTGTTGTGCCGCGTTTTTGATGCGTTCCGAACCGTTTTTTTAAAGTTTAACATGGGCTTTCAGGCACTTGCATGCATTTTTGATGCGTTTTTGATGCGTTCCAGAGCAGGTAAAATAGGGCTTGCCACAGTTTTTTCACCTGCTCTGGATCTGCACGCTGCGATGTGAACTGGAGCTCAAAATACCATAGGAATACATTGGACGCAGTTTTGATCCGGTCTGCACCTGCTCTGCTCTGGATCTGCTCCGCGCTTGGTGTGAACAAGCCCTTAGGGTGTCAGGTCACTCCGCCTAAGGAGAGAGATCCGCACGGGCTGGTAGAGCTGGTCTTGTGGAACCTTCTCAGTGTGGGATCAGGAGTGGGGGGGATCAAAGAGTCCTGTGATACCAGGCCGCAGCCGAGGACCACCAGACAAGCTAGCGGGGCAAAAGGGGGACTTAGTGTTTGTAAAACAGTTCACAGATAGTAAGCAACTAGAAAGTCCCAGCAGTCCCTAATCACGGCATACACACGTTCAGAACTAGATGTCTCAGCAGTTCTCATCTTCTTCTAGTCTTCGTCCAATGAGCCCCCCCAGCCATGAGTCGTCTCTCCATGTCTCTGGAATAAAATCTCTGACTACTCTGTGCACAAGGCTGTTACATTGTACCTGGGCGCCAGCAATCAGATACATGAGACCAAATTGCTGGTGCCGAGGTGACTGGCTCTGTCCTGGTACAGGATTTTCTTTCTACACGTTAGTCGAGGGACACGCAAAGTGTTTGACCTTCAGGTTATACTGCCGTCTACAGGACACTGGCAAGCAGAAAAGCTGTAGGCCAGCCCAGGATAACTCCTCCCACTAGCAGCATGCCTCAGTATTTTGCTAGTGTCCTAGGAGGATGGACGTCTTTTCTTCTGCTCTTCTATGTGAAGAACGAACCTACTTTCTGCCGGCACTTTTCTTCTTCCTGCACCGGGCTCACCCAGCTGACTTTCTGCTAACGCGTCTGGGGCTGCTTGCAGGACGCCTACTGGCGGTGCCGACACCTCCCGCCTGTAATCATGTTATCCTCTGCTCATAAACTCTGTCCCACCCTTGAAATTCTTTGGCTCTTACACGTGTAGGCGAGTCCTCTGCCCTTTTGGGATGAGGTCTTTTCTACGGTCATAAATAATTTTTATGACCCAAATCACAGTTATTTGCTGACTTTGGCTGTGAAGATGTTACGCGCATTCCCGCACCCTCTCCTGCAGATTCTATATCTGATTTGCCTGTGAACTTAGCAGCTTCCAAGTCACGGGCCATAAAAACTCTGAGTCACCCCAGTCCTTGACTTATGGCCCTGAGGAGTCAGTCTACTGCTCTCGCTCCCAAGTTAAAGGAGAACTATGAGGGGGGTGCTTTTCACTCACCTCATAGTTATAGCCGACCTGTGACAATGAGACTGTCGCAGGTCAGCTCAGTGGATTGGGAAGTGAGCGAACACATACCGGCGCTCGCTCACTTCTCAATCCTGTCACTGCAGAGAGCCGTGACAGGGGAGGGGCTGGATTCCTCCCTCCCTGCTCCGATCCTCCAGCGCTGACTAGCAGAACGGACGGGGGAGGGGGCGGGTACAGCTGGCTCTGCCTCTAGATAGGCTGAGCCAGCTGTCACTCACGCAGCTGGGCGGATCCAGACATAATTGTCGGGGTTCGCTTCAGCTGCGGCGTCTCAGTATACAGGAAGCTGTAGCTCGCGGTATCCTGAGCTTAGGGTGACGGGAGGACGCTAGTTTGTGTCCTCCCGTTACCTTTAGGAGAACTATGGGGAAAAGCCCAGACCCCATAGTTCTCCATTAAAGTAAATGGTTTTGACTCTTATTGATGCAGTATGCACCACTGTGAAGCCAGAGGATCTGCTTGTGGCTTCTACCAGTACTTTTTGCAGCCTTGGGTCATTTAAAACCCCTAAGGCCACAAGGACTTTCCCTTTGCTCCAGATTTCTCAGCTACTTCTCTCTGGAGATTGGAAACATGCTGATTAGTTGCTTATGTTGTGCAAAAGTGATCCATTCCCACTTGTGGATTCATGGACTCAACCGCTAAACGGTTGGAAGCCCAGTCTATAGCTCTGTTCTCTCTGGCGGGTCCGGCCCTTCGCCCTATTCTGGCGGTGCTATATCTCAAAACTATGCTGCAGAGCTGAACCTGGATGAGATCTGTCACCACTTATAGATCACTCATTTGCTGCCCCTCCGTCTCTCTATGACCACCTGTCGCCGTAGAGTTGTGTTTCCTATGAAATATTAAACATCTCCTTTTATACTTTTTATGTTCGCGTGGCCTTACCGTCTCAATATACTTATGTTACCTGAGCCGAGAGCCTTAAATAATGAATATTAAACGTCGGTCCGCACCGGGTTCTGCAGATGATTCAGAATCCACCATCTGACGCTAATGGCAGAGCATAGAAACACAACTCCCAGCGGCCATCTCGCATGAAATGAATATCCCGACCTGTGTACCAGCTGGTGGGCCCGGCAAGAGACGTATTATACAGTAGCCTGATGGTTTGTGTTGTGTATTTAGTTATCTGATGTCAGATTTCCAAAAAGAGTTAATGTTTTCTCTTGGTCTACCGGCAATTGGTTCATTCTTTGCCCAGTTCGGATGGGATATGTATTGCAGCTTCTTTACAGCCGCTTCCTGCGATGGCTGTATGTCTTTTTTTTAAAGCAGGTTTCCTGATGGTGACTAGTGATGGGCTCAGGCGTGTTCGCAGCTCCATGTGCCGAGCCCGCCAGGAAGCTGACAGCGCGCAGCGACAATCATAGGCACTGAGGCATTTCCTGGCTGGCTCAGCA